TGGGGAACACCAACCAGTACACCAGCTCTGCCATCGTCGCTGCCATCAATGCCCTCACCACCGACAGCACCATAGATATGAACGATGGGATTCCCATCAAGTCGAGGAAGACCGCCATCGACCACACCCCGTCCATGACTCTCAAAACTGAACCGGCTGGCGAGGATCATGGGACCATATCGCCAACGGCCGATTTGTCACCAGAAGACTTCTCCAGCTTTCAGCACATCAGGAAAGGAAACTTCTGTGAGCAGTACCTGTCCGTGCCACAGCATCCCTACCAGTGGGCCAAACCAAAGTCTCTTTCTCCAACGTCCTACATGAGGTAAGGAACCCCGACTTAGAGGGCAATCCTGATAATTTCTTTATTGCATGGGAGTTTTTTTTCCCCTCCTTCCCCTTCCTGTCTCTGCTTCCTGCCAAATCTGCCCATCCACTCATTCCACTTAGCCGTATCTTGTGATGCTGCCTCTGTTGTTGGTGTGGTGTGACCATGAGCAAAGCCTTTGAAGGGTGAAAGAAGCTGCTCTGGCTGGCCATGCAGCACATTCCTCATTGTCAACTCCATGTCACGGCCTTCAGACATCAAATCCCATCGTTTCAGTTGTCCCATCAACAAACCATCCTTCTCGGTACGGAGGCTGGCCATGCCCGGGTTGTAACTGGTTATCTGCTTCCCAGGGGACGAACCCTGGCCCAGGCAGTCTGGAAATGGCATCTTCAGCAGCTCATCAGGCGCAGGGCAATTTGGTGCCATCAAACCTGCGGTTTTACTTAAATAGTTCATCATGTCTTTAGTATGTTGTCATTGCATGGCAATATGAGACAAGGAGATGGTCTCATTATTGTGGCTGTTACAGGGCCTTTTACATTTACGCTTTATAGACAGTGAATCCAAACAACAGGAATATGGTTCTTTTGTACATTATTTCCGCTTTTAATTGAGTTTACCTGAAAGCTGCTCATCAATCTTCTTTTCCTGTCTGTGTTGGACAATGATTTTCTTTCTTCCCTCTTCCCTATCATTTTTATGTTTAAAGAAGAAAACCTGTCAGCTGATAATACTCAATATACTGGTCACATTCATTTATCACAAGAGGACTCCGGGTAGGAAGCACCACAGAATAGCCAGAATCTGAGTTAATCTGTTGCTTTCTCTTTTGGCCTCAGTTATGGTCTTTATTTTGAAGTCTTCTGCAGGCTGTGTATGCAGAAGCATGTGGTGCAGGAAGAGAGTTTGGCTTTCCAAAAGTTTGCAGCCTGTCCCCAGTCCCTGGTTGCGATGGCCACCCCTCCTCTTCAGCCTTGCCAGTCTCACTTTCCTCCAGCTGTGCTCTCATTTTGCCACGTGCTGCCTCCCAAAACTGAGATTGAGTGGTCCACGGCCCTTTGTGTTACAGCATGCAGTGCTGTGGTCTCCTTCCTCATCATTCTCCTCCTCCTCTTCCTCTCTCCGTTGCCCAAGCTCCTTGCAGGACCCTGGCTCAATTCAGCGCTGGGAAGTGCAGCAGCCCCTTTGGGTCTGGCCGAGCCATCCAGAGTTTGGCACTCGCTGCCTTTTGGAGCTGGGATAGAGACTTTTAACACCGGGAAAACCCTTCAGAGCCTTCCCGTGTACTTAAAAAAAAGCCTTTTATGTTCTCCCACTGAAGTGCCAAGCAGCCCATGTTCATCAGAGAGGCCGACCATGGGCTTTTGCACTGGGGGGCTGCTTTTTTGCTGAAGCCTTCACGGGCAATCACAGGACAGTTTGACCAGAGAGGCTTTTATCTTTCCCTTGCAGTGAGCGGCCCGTGGGCGCTTTGCTGCGGTCCGTCAGGAGGCACCCGGCCTGCCTGTGCGCTAACACAAACAAGAAAGGTGAAGTGTACAAACGGAGCCCTGCTACGCTGTGTACTTAACATTTTTTTCCACTGTTTTGGTCTTGTATAAAATATGTTTCCTGGTTCGCAATATGTTTCCATGTGATCTCATTAACTCGTGCTCTAGGGCAGTTGGAAGTTACTGCCGAAATGTGATTTTAAGTTATTTTACCAATCAGATACACTGACCGTGCTTCCTTCCACCAAAAATACCTCTCTTTTTATGTATATGAAAGCGTTGGGCAATTGAGCTCGGACGTCAACAGGATCACAGCCTACGCAACAGAAACTATGTTATTTTAAATCTTTCCAAAAAAATTGGTTAAGAATTTGTCACAACAGAGCTGGATTTTTTTCCTGTTATGTTACACATCTGTTCTATTTCAAACGTGAGGGCTGGAGGGGTGAGTTCCAACAAACAGCTCGGGCTCCAAAATCTACCCGGTCGTAATGATTTCGAGATAAGCAGATTTGATTGCCTCCTCTGTCTCTTCCTGAATACGCGGTGCAATTTTCATCAAAAGCCAGCGTGCCCTGGAAAATCACTGATGCCTTTCCCTCCCTCTCTTGCGTTCCCCTCTCTCTGGGGGCAGGAGGGAGCAGGCTCAGGCAGACCATAGGCCGGGTGCTCTCTCCTTTCCCGGGCTTTTATAGGGGACATCGTTCTAAAAGGGAAACTGCTTTTTTGTATTGTTTATAAAACCGATGATGTTTTTTATTTGCTGTAATTAAAGCTCAACCCGCTTCAGGCATTTCAAGTCCTGGAGCAAGGGAATGATAAGACTGTGTAGTATAGTATAATGTATATATGCATTATACTGTGTATAGTAAGAGTATAATACAGTGCATATAGTAAGAGTATAATAATGCCTGCCTGAACAGGAACGCGGTCTTTCTGTGCCTCATGCCTCTCTTGCATGCTTACGAGGACGGGGAGCTCGGAGGCTCAGCCTGGTCCCCAGGCGGTGGGCTCTTCGGAGCAGGTCTGGGCTCACACGTCCCCCTCAAGGGCTACAAGCGTGCGGATCTGTTCCTGCAAGCGGTTCCGCACGCGGGCGCTGAGGCTCGCAAGCTAACCCTGGGCTGCGGGGCATTTCTCTGTGGCAGCACTTTGGTTGCAGCCCAGGGCCTCGTGCCAAATTTCTGGGTGTAGAAAATATTTAAAGACCAAGCTGAGATTTTGAGGGGAAAACTGGAACAAACCCTGAGGTAGAGACGGGAATCGTACCTTTTCCAGGCCAAAATGGGCTGCCTAAACGTACCGATCTGCCTCATAAACTACTGGAGATAAATCATTACACAGAAAGTCAAGAGATGGACTTTGTGAAGTTCTGCTTTAGCTTTTAGCTCCAAGGCCTTTTTTTAATTTGGTATTTATGCATCGTGCTGTCTCACTCAAATGCAAGAAGTTTCTGTCTGTAGTCCCTCTTTTATAGTTAACATAGCAAATGGTTTAAAAAGAAGCACTCTGCAGGGCAGTTACTGTATGAGCAGGTGACGCTCTGTGTTTCTCAAGCCCCTGCTGTCCCAGTTGCGTTCCTTTCTGTGGCATTTCTCCATCGCTCCTTGGTGCTGTGTAATGCAGAATCTCCCACGGGCAAATATGTCACAGCCAAAATGGAAGCACAGGACTGGACTTCTGCCCTCGGGCATGGGGACAGTGTTAGCCACTATTTCCAAAACTAAAATCCCATTTTTATTTTTTTACCCACTCATTAGCATGTCCTAAATCATCCTGTATTACAACAAAAAGTACAGGCACTCATGAAAGTGACGGATTTCTGAGTATCTTACACCTTTTTTATGACTTCCTCTTTAGCCTGTGTGTTTGATTAAACACAACCTGAAATTTCCTAGGGACGGTGTCTTACTCGTTGAAAAGTAATGCATTGTCGTTATTTCAAGTGTCATCAGTTTAATCCAAGAAGTGTGTTGGCCTTTAACACTTGCATTTTCATGAAATGTAGTGTCTTTTGGGGAAGGGGAAAGAAAAAATAATGCTTGGGTTTGTTGGTTGGGCGTATGGCATGTATGAGGTCTACCACACCAAAAGGAGCTTCCAGGAATAGACACCCAGTTCCAGGTGGCTTATAAAAGCTCCCTCTTGTACAGTTTATTTTTTTTAACCGTTGAAAGCCACATTTTCTTTAGCTGAAGTCTCTTTCAGCCTCAAAAATGCACATATATGCTCTTGACCTCACAGACACAGGGTCATGTAGCTTTACATGTGGAGGATGTAGTTTGCACCCGGAGAACGTATGGCTGGATACCTGTCTACCAGTTGCAAAAGCGCAATCGGTAAAAGCCAAAAGTCTTCATCAACAGGCTTGTTTATTTTTCATGGATTTGTTGGATTCCACTTTTGTGACTGTGACAGTACTAAACTCAAGCATGGAAAAATCATTCATTGAGGCCCCAAGCCATATGATTTACTTAAAAATCGTGATTTTAAAAATTTGCCTATTTTTTCCTTCTTTCTTTTGATTTGTGGACCTTTCAGATGCTCTTGATGCTTTGCTTTTTTTTTTTTTTTTAAAGAGATGTTTCAGTCCGGATTGTGAGGTAGAAGACAACCTTACTTGGGAGAAGCTGAGTTTCTCAAGAAATTGGGGTTTCCTGAAGGTGGAAAAAGGCACCAGCTATCTTAAGATGAGATAGTCACCGGCGCAGCAGCGCCGGATTTGCTGACCTGTGCAGTCACGGCAAACTTGTGTGTTTATGGCGAGCGAGAGGAAGTTCCTCAGACAAAGCAAAAGCAGGGCTGTCTGGGCAAGACGCGGTGAGATGGGGACTTGCGGCTGTGTGTCGGTGGTGACCATCTCCTGGGACTTGTTAGTGTTCATTGGGGGGCAGGAGAAGTGGACAGGGAAGAGCCCGCGATGCCTCTAACCTTCTTTTCTCTCCTGCTGTATTTGTGCTGGATGGGGATATTTAGATGCATCAACAAGTTTGGTTTGCCACCATGTATCTGTGGCTTTCGATGACGTTAGGTGGCTGTACCATAAGGCTGAAGACTGCTTGGAAGCCTGTCTCAGTAAAGTGATTCTGTTTGTTTGTTTGTTTGTTTGATTTAATCCTCCCCACGCTTTCTCCTGACTGTTTTTCAGTTCATTCAGATGCCCCGTGAGCATCTTATTAATGGCCTTCCTTCACCAGCTCATTTTAGCACAGCGTGGTTCTAAATTCAGAAGGAGCAGAGATGCGATGCCAGTTACTTGGTACCTCCATTCCTGCGGCAATGGTTTCTTGTTCTTTCTCTAAGCCAACAAATGCAAAATTTCCCATGCAAATCGATCTCTGAATGTGAAATTTCAGGACGGTAGTGTTAAGTATTATCTGGGAGTATGACGATGACTGGCATTTTCAGACTTCAGCGTGAGGAATTCCAGTGCGCCGCATGCACTCCACGGAGGAGCTACTTGCTCCACATGCCAGCAAAATCCAGCCAAGTCTGGGGTGGGACACAGCATCTATTTTAGCAGCTCACAGCCAGATTGCTCAATTGTCAGACAGGAAATTAAAAAAAAAAAAAAAAAAAAAGAGAGAAAACCAAAAAAATCTACCCATGTTAACTCACAGGTGAAATATAAAGCAGGTATATTTTTCTGACCACAGCCAGGTTGGTGGACACGTAGGCATCATCGTTGTTTTCTTACTCTTTGAAAAAACACACAGGGACTTTTAACGGGCATCCGCTTCAATGTGAGACACAGGCAATAAATAAAAAATTGTAACCATATTTGCACTTGGTGCACAGTTAGTGCAGGGGCCAGCCAGCAGCCTGGTAGAAGTTTCAGCAGCCCCATGGTTCCTGTTAGAAAAAACGAGCTTAGTGCAGGGCCCCCAGTCTCAGCCACACTCCTAAGTCTCTTACTTTACTTTAGGCGCCCTGCTCTGCCAGGCGGGGGCTTATGCCGCTCCAGGGGGGATGGCTCCATGCTGCCGTACTTAGCCATCGAGTGGGGTTAGTCCCGGTGTGAGACCGGCAGTTGTTCTGACACCTTTTGCACAGCAGCCTAGTTGTTAAGGACAAAAATGTTCGCAAATCTCTTCTTCAGGTGGCCTTGTGCATCTAGTAGCTTAGAAAGTGTAATGGTAATTTAATTCCCAAATGTATAGCAGTCATTGTGACAATGGGGCTTATACACCTTTGCAAAGTTTAGTACAAGTTTTTGGCTTTCCTCCCTGTCTATATTCCAGTGTGCTGCTTAGTATCTTTCTTTTTTTTTTTTTTTTTTTTTGAATTTGATAAATCTTTCTGCTAAAGGCAGAAGTCAGCCAGACTGGATAATCTGGTTTTGATTTAATCATATTGTGTATCTGGTGTATGCAAAATAAATCACTATTCATCTGTTTTGTAATCTGATTTATGTAGGACGGAGTTACACTGAGCGAGTTTTCTACAGCCTAACACCAGGTTTTGTGAAGCTGCCTTGAAACAACCATCCCTCATTACATCAGGACACATAGAAAGGAATGGGACAGGTTTTCAGTTGGTGGAAAATTCGATCTGAGGGAAAGACAACGATGTATATTTGATAGGAAGACTGCGTGAAGACCTTTTATTTCCCCTCTTGACCCCTGTGGAGGGGACTCTTCTCCCCTCCGCGTGATGTTGGCTAGATGAGGTAGTTTGGGCCTTTTCAAATTGATAAGATTTATTTGCAGCAACCAGATTTGATTTTACCACTACACCATTTGCTTGGTGACTTTTGCCTTTAACCACGTTTAGCTGCAGGAAATTAAGTGCATGATGAAGATAACCTAACATAGGAAATAGCTCTGACAGCCCCAGCCCATGACACTGTTAAATGCATCACTCTGCTTCCTTTATCAGGAAAACTGCCATTAATTGTCAATTTATAATTGGGCAGGTGGTATTTTGGAATTTCAGTGATAGATTGTAGGGTAACAGCAAACTATATTTTTGTTTTCAAGCTTTATTTGAGAATGTGAATTTTACAACTTAATTATACTGACATTTTCAGGTGCTGGTTTGAAAGGGGGTTTTGTGCATTTTTTCTTTGTTTTTTGAAGAGATGTATGTAGTTATGGAACTATTACTTACTTCCATGTATCTTAAAAAAAAAAATCCCTCTTTACTTGAGGACTACGTGCTGCTGGTCAGAGTTGTCCTTTTCATGTAAGTGTTAAAAATTTCTGATCTGATAGATGTTGTGTCCTCAGAAAAAAAAAAAGATCCATCAAGTGAGAATTTACTTAAAACCAGAAACATCTGTTTAAAAATGTGTGCTGATCATCACCAGGAGAGACACAGCTGTTTTGCTCTGCTCTTTGTCATTTATCATTAGTCAAATATGGTTTATCCAGAATTTTTTTTTTAAGACTTTTTCAGACTAAGTATGTGTACCTAACGTGCTAGGCAACCAATAGTGGCTATATAGGACTGCCAATTGCCTGTAATTTTTTGCCGTCTCTTCGCTCTTTGTATGAGTGTCTACCAGTGGAAGGGCTTCTCCTCACCCCCAAGGTGGGCCCTGGCCATTTTTGGGGAGAGGCTTGCACAGGAGCTGAGAAGATGTAATGTCCTGCCTCTAGGCAAGTCTGGGGCTCCTGTGCTTGTCGGTGTGTGTGGGGGTGTGTGTGTGTCAGTAGCCAAATTCAGGAATTGTCCCTGGCAGGATCTTGGCTCTACAGAAAGTGCCCTGCTGGCTCCTGCTGGATCCAGATGTTCATGGGAGCTGGGAGCCCTCACAGAGGCAGCATCTTTCTTTTGGATGAGCTCCCATTTGGGCCGAGCTGGATGCTGTATGGCTACTTTCTTCTCTTCCCCTCTGTTATTTTTGAGGATGTTCCGTGGGCTGGAGAGCAGGGTAGCTGGAAGTTTGGAGCCTGCGACTCGCCAGCAAGCCGTGCTGGGATGGCAGAGGGTGCCCAGGGAGAAAGGGTAGTCCTGGTCCTCATCCAGGGCTGGGACTTACTGGCTCCAGCTGACCCCTGTAATGCGGGCAGTGGGAGTCTGTAGGCATTCAAATCACATGGCTCAAATTGGCAAATTTATAAGCAGTGAAGAAAGATAATGTAAAGAAACTTAGCACCACCTGAAGTCCCATCAGTGTATATGCACGTGTGCACTAGCAGATAGGAGTTAAATATGCCAGTGATAAAGGGCTGGATAAGCACTTAAAAAAAAAAAAAAAAAAGGCAAAGCAAAAAAACCCAAACCCCGGTGTGAGTGGTTAAAGTCTCTGGCCCGCAGTGGGAGACAGCAGGGATGCTTTGGGGGATGTGAAAGCTGTAACACCTGCGGAGCCGAAAGCATGCTGGGGCAGTGTGCGGATCACAGGGACAGTAAAATGGAGTATTCAGTCTCCCGCCGAATATGTGCTTGTAATGTGCGCATCCAGCGCGGAAGCTCTCGTGAATCCTTTCCCTCCCAGCCAGCTCATCTGAGCTGTGATTCACGCTGCTCAGGCGGTCCTTGCACCAGGGCTATAGCAGCGAGGCATGGAAGAGGTAAATCCCCAGCGGCCAGCCCCCTCGCAGGCTGGGGCGACAGCTAATTAATTAGCCCTTCAGCCTCCTCATCTGCACGCTGTGGCGGGGCGGGGCTAGCCCCGGTCTGTGGCAACAACAGGAGGGTTGAGGACTGTGATTTTCTGCTTGCTGGTCATCTTCTCCAGGCTGATGGGAGAGATAATGAAGTTTGATGTAAGAGGACAGGGTAGTATGTTGTGGTCGTGCCATTGAAGTAAAGGCTTTTGAAGGACATCTGGTGAGGAGAATTCACCAAAAGAGAATATATGCTAGACATAAAATTAGTGTTTTCATCATGAAGCTTTTTGCTTCGATTTTAAGATCAATAAATTTGCCTCACGCCTAACATGGTTTCAACAGTGCTTATTTGTTTCTTTTTTTTTTTTTTACCCCAAAGCGTCAACTTGGCATTTCTTACAGCTGAGTGCTGCTGACTATTTTCAAGTGTGGTTTTACACTGGAAGCGGGTTTCTAAGAATGACACTTCCCCACCATCGCGTGCTGTCAGGCCTGCTTGCTTGTGCGATGGTAATGAGTCCTTAATATTTTAGTTAATTGCAGAATCA